CGCAGAGGACTAGGTAAAAAGGCCGTACTGAATACTCCGGCCTAGAGGGCAAGGTTACTCCGGCCTTGGGGAGACAAAGTTACTTCGGCCCAAGGAGGTGAGTTTATTCCGGCTCAAGAAAAGATAGTTGCTTCGGCCCAAGGAGGAGAAAAGCTACTCCGGTCCAGAGACAACTCGGAGTAGGGCCGGTCTTAGAGTTAGTCCGGTCGCAGTATGTTCTGGGAAGACTGGTTTCGGAATTAGTCCGGTCGTGACACACTCTGGTTAAGTCGGTCAGAACTTGTTACTTGGAAGTTTGATCTAAGCATACCAAGGTTGAACAGGGGCAGCCGAAGTAATGAGTTAAAGGAGAAGACCGAGCTAAGGATAGTTCGGCCTTCTCTGTGGCTCAGCATAGCCAGTGTTATTTCGGTCGTGTGGTAGTTCGGCTATGGAGAAAACCATCCCACTTGGTTTAAGCAGTGGGGGAGGGTGTAAAAGGATAAGCATTATCCTTAGGAGAATGAATCCTAGGAGGACTCTGCATGGAGGAGTACAAGTCCTACTAGGATTGTGCCACGGGAAACTTATAAAAGCCTACAAACATCACCTTGGAGGAGGTAATTGAACATAATCTTTCTGAGAACTTAGAGCTTTGTCTATTTGTCAAGTTTTCTGACTTAGGCATCGGAGAGGTTTCCGGCACACACCCGCCGGCTAGCTCACGTTTGTGTTTTCAGGTAACAAAGCGACGTCGCACGGAGGAGCGTGAATTTGGTCAACAGGATTATACGAGGAGAATTATTTCCTCCCCGTACAGAGGGTATTTTCAATCACCCATTTACATAATAATTTTCTGAAATAATTAGAGAGAGATAGGGCATCATATTTTATAGTTTGAAGATAGGATTGAAATTGTTAATGACCTCACAATGAACAAATAGGATTGACAAATAACATAGATTCGAGAGAGCAAGAGAGAACCACCATAGTTGAAGACCATAGAAGTGTCACTTGTTAATATTACAAAATTGAAATTTGATAGAAGGGGAAGAAAAATGGAGGTACAAAAAGGTTGTTAGAGTATGTAAGAAGAGAGAGATGAATGTATGTCTTACATAAAAAAGAGAGAAAGTAAGTGAAAAGTCATATACTTAGACGGGAGAAGCAAAAATAGAGATTTCATCTTGACTCTTAATTTACTTGATAAGTATAATCTGAACTATTAAAATCAAATATATTTCTAACATATTTTGAGATATTTTCAAAAATCTTTCTATGATATTATATATATATATATATATAAATAAAATAAGGTGTTTATATTATAGTGAAATTAGTTAGACCATCTCCAACGGTGAACCAAACCCAGCATCAGATTTAAATTTTGATGAAAAACTCATTTTTTCACGCTCCAACGGTTGCACCAAAGTCATACCAAAATGAGAATTCAGCAAACAAGACATCAAACTGAGATCAAGACACAGATTTTACCAAATCACTGTTACTGACCGTTGAAAATGCTACACCGGTCGACCAACCGGTTGCCCGGCCGGTTGACCAACCGGTCAACCAGTAAAAGATTCAAACAGTTCAGAAAAAATAGTTCAAACCGCAAAAAAAAAAAAAAAAAAAAAAAATTTTGGCCTAACCAGTCAACCGGCCGGTCGACCACCCGATTGTCCCGGGATAGATTTGGTAAAGGTGAACCGTTGGAGCCTGAAGTATCAAATTCAGAAAATGGTCATTTTTTAACTCAGATTTGGTGAAATTTTTGATTCACGGTTGGAAATACTCTTAGTGCTATGTGCAAATAATAACATAATGCAGTCGTGTCATTCATTTTTTACTCACGAGCTATGAACACAAGAACCTAGGTAAAGAAGGAGTGTTTTGTGGAATTATAAAAGTACGTTTGGTGATAAACTAAAAAAAAAAATTAAGGATATGGTTGGTTTGATTTTGAGAGAATGGTTTTTAAAAATTATTTTGAGGAGAGAGTTTAAATTTTTTTTTGATTTATTTAGTTGTATATTTTGAAAGTAGTTTTGGAGTTTGAGAGTTTGGAATAATTTGATATTTTGTTATAATTGAGTAGGTGTGTGTGAGAGAAAAAGTGATTGAAAAAGAAAGAGAAGAGTGGAAAAAAAAAAAAAAAAAATTAAAACCACGAAACGACGTCGTTTCGTGGTTTAGGGGCATTCGGGGCGGAGGAATTCGGGCCCTGTAGCATTGTTGTTTGATATTTTGTTATAATTGAGTAGGTGTGTGTGAGAGAAAAAGTGATTGAAAAAGAAAGAGAAGAGAGAAAAAGTGATTGATTGATAGGTAAGAGAGAGAAAGTAATTTTAAAAAATTTACAAACCAAATAAATTTTTAAAATTTTTTTTTCCCTAAATCACTCTAAAAATCCAAACCAAACATATTCTAAAATTTTTAAAGGGGTGAAATGAATGTAAAAAGCTAAAAATAAAGAGTATGGGTGTGTTTGATTGGATGAACTAGATAAGGAGAATTAGAATCTATCGGATTTGAATCCTGTGACTGTGAATCCCTGGACTATTTGGTTGGATTGGATATGTATTCTGTGTTTGTTTTTTCATGGGATTAAATGTCTGAAAATGACTATTTTAGTGAATTTAATGTTTGGTTGGACGGATTGGATATGATAAATGAACAAAAGGCTATTTTACTCTTTTTCAATTGTTTACTAAGTAATAACAATATTAAACATATCTTTAATATTTTAATTATTTTTAGCTAGATTATATAAAAATTTATTTTATTTTATTTTTTACACAATTAAATAAATTTATTTTTTTAAAAATAAATAAAATATCAATAAAAATTTATATTATTTTTTTAATTAAAATTTTAAATAAATTTGTTTTTAAAAATAATAATAATTAAACAATGAAATTAAATAAAACATCTATTAACATTTAAATAATGAAATTAAATAAAATATAAACAAAATTTTAAAATAAAACATCAATAAAATATCTATAAAAAAGTATTTAAAAATTAATAAATAAAACATCAATAAAAAGTTAAATAAGATTATTTTATTTTTAAATTGAGATATTTAAATTTTATTGAATTATATTAAATATAATACATAATTAAATAGTAGAGGGCCAAAATTGTCATTTCATTACCTAATCCCAACAGTAAATAATCCCCCAAAATTATCTCACACCCCCCCAAGATAATATAATCCCCCATATAGGGGATAAGGAGTCCGGTCAGACTCCATGTCCGGCGGACTAAAAAAAAACATCAGATTGAATTTACTGTGCGAATTACAATCCGCATTGTAAATAATCCCTCTCTTTATCCCCCAATCAAACACATCCTATGTGTGTTCTTTTTTAAGTTAAATCACAAGAGGAAGAATGCTGTAAAAATAATGTTAAAGATTATAAAAATTTTATTAAATATTTTATTAAATGTTTTTATAGGAACATGAAATTCATACTGACATAGTCCCACACCACATAAGATAGGGGTGGTCGCGGGTCGGTTGCGGCCATAGAACCTCTAATCCACCATCTGTCCGTCAAATTGGCGGATTGGAGAAAATCAATCCGCATCCATTCGCCAATCCAACGGATGTGGATTGAGCGGATTCGCGAATGAATGCGAATCGGTTTAGCGGTTTAAATTTTTTTAAATTTTTAACATAATTTAACTTGTGCACTTCCTCCAAAAAAAAATAAATTACAGTCAATGACTTAAAAAAATATTACAATCACTGCATGCCTCATCCAAAGTAAAAAAGTTTGAAACTTTAGAATATTACAATCACATCATGCCTCATCCACATAAAGTATTACAATCTGTGATTCTTAAAATATAAAAACAAATCAAACCACCAAAACTATAAATAGAGCAGTAGTAGAAATTCTATGTTTCTGTATTGTTACATCTATATCTGTTTTTGAAAATAAAAACCAACCAGCATATATCATATTTTTTATTTTTTATTTTTTATTTTTAGAGATAGATTTCAAAACCAAAAAATATAGATAAATAATAAGTTTATTTTTTTAATTCAAAAAAGATAGTCAAGTTGAAAACTTTTTTTCAACAGAATATTTTAACTCTTTTTTAATTGAAAACACAAACAGAATATTTAAACAAACTGATAACACAAAGTCTTATAAATTAATACGAGTGTTCGCAGTTTGGCGGTTCGGTTGCGGTCAAAAAAATCTCAAATCCGCCATCCGTCCGCTAGATTGGCAGTTTGAAGAAAATCAATCCACAATCATCCACTCGTCATCACGCATCTGTTCAAAATATGACGAATTGATTCGATTCGATCGATTTTAGCAAATTGATACTTCCCCTGCTCACCCTACCATAAGAGGCCCCGTTTGGGGACTTACTTTTTTAGCCCATTAGCCAAAAAATTATTAAATTAGCCAAAAAGCCAACAACTCATACCAAAAAGTCAAAGATTCTCTTTTCTCTCTATTTTTTGCACATCTTTTCGTAATTAGCCAAAAAGTCAAAGATTCTCTTTTCTCTCTATTTTTTGCACATCTTTTCGTAATTAGCCAAAAAATCATCCCAACATATAAGTTTTTTTTACCTACCTTTTTAACAAAATAGTCAAAAAGTTACTAAATTAGCCTGTTCCCAAACAAGGCCTGAGTATAAAATTTAATGAAACTTTAGCATTCCGATCCTTCGCATCAAGCATCAAGCATCAAGAAATGGCAGTGGCGTCTAGAGCAGTTTCATCAGCAACCACCTCTCTATCCTCTCAACCAGTACCTCCTGTAACTTCCATAACCACACTCCTCCAATCCTTAAACCCCCAAAACCCTCTCTCCCAAATCCCCAACCCATCCCCTCTCACCCACTTTGCTCCAATCCTTAAACCCTAACCTAGTCATTCAAGTCATCAACAACCAATCCAACCCTTACCATGCTCTCTTCTTCTTCTTCAACTGGTCCTCCAACCCAATCCCAAACCAAACCCCAACCACTACTCTCACTCTCACCATTGCTACATGGCCATCACTGACCGCCTCACCTCTCACGGCTTCTTCTCCACCGCTGTTTCTCTCCTTGAATCGTCCAACGAACTGTCAGACTTCATGCTGGGCAAGCTCATCAAGGCTCACGGCGACCGCCGAGACATAAGAGGAGCTAGCTATTCATTGGTTCCATGAAGCCAAAATTAGACATTCTGGTCGTTGTTTGTTTTCTTGTAATTCGATTTTGGGTGTCTTAGTTAGAGCGAATCGAATTGGTTTGGTCTGGGCTTTCTACGATCAGATTATTGAGGAAGATGTGGTTGAGCCTGATGTTTCTACTTATACGACGATGATTAAGGGTTTTTGTAAAATGGGTATGGTTGATGATGCAAAGGAGGTGTTCGACGAAATGGTATGTGCGCCGAATTTGGTTACTTACGACACTATTGTCAATGGGTTGCGTAAGAAAGGTTTGATGGACGGTGCTAGGAGTATTGTCAATAGATAGGATGATAGAGACTAAGGAGTGTTTGCCTGATACGGTGACCTGTACTGCTTTGATATAGGTATTGTAAAAGAGGCGAATTAGGTGAAGCAAAAAAGGTTTTTATGAGATGGTAAACCGAAATTGTGAGCCGAATGTGTTGACATACAATGCAATCATTAATGGTTTTTGTTTGAGCGGAAATATTGATGAAGCAAGGAGAATGATGACGAGGATGAGACCAAGCGGTTTGAACATACTAGTTTATTAAAGGGTTTTGTATTGCAGGAAAACCAAATGAAGCTGTCAAACATCTCAAGGAAATGGTTAGTCTAGGAATAAGACTCGATGTACAAGCATATGGATTTGTTGTAAATGGATATTGCAAATTGGGGAAACCAAATGAATCTATTCCTCTTCTAAGTGAAATGAGGATGAGAGGTATTAGTCCAAGTGTTTCTAGCTTTAATGCAGTGTTTCAAATACTTGTGGACTGTGGAGAGCTTGATGGAGAGCTATTGTTCTTTTGAAGCAGATGCAGCAAATGGGTTGCGCTCCAAACTTCTTGTCATATAACACAGTGATATGTAGCCTTTGCAGAGCTAAAGGGGTGGGTGCAAGAAGCTGAAGAGCTTGTGGGTGGCATGCTTAGAGATGGTCATTTTATTGATGCCACAATGTACAGTTGCGTAGTTAACGGATATTGTGATAGTGGAGATGATGAAATGGCAATGCGGGTTTTCAAGGAAATGATTGGTAAGGGCTTTGTGATTAATCTTACAAGCTTTTCAAATTTTGTCCAGGAGTTGTGTATAAAGGGAAAGCTGTTCGAGGTTGAGAAATTATTTGAGATGTCTTAGAGTTGCCCTGTAATTGAAGTGGATACTTATAGAAGGGTTCTGGATAATTGTTTATGTAGAAATAAAAATAACACATGGCAGGGCATGTGATTTGGCAAGGTTCTGAAATTCAAGGGGAGTGTGATTGAAATGGCTGTCATCTATGCAGTGATCTGTTAGAACCATGTTATATGCCTTAAGAAAATTCTTGTTCTCAATCATCTTTTGGAGATGTTCAGTCCAGAAGCTGAGGATAGTTTCAAAAGGCTGGAATGAAAGAGTGGATTGACATGAGAATAAGCCGTGGGGAAATTGAGTGTGGTGGCTGTTTGGCTGGGCTGGGATGGAATTCTTTTTTCACTTTGGTTCTTGAGGACTGTAGGAGAGGGTTCAAGAAAGGAGTTGGAAAATTCGAAGATCTTCGAAGATCCGTGAAGAACAATTTCGAATTCTCTAGAAGATGATGAGAGGCTTAGATTCTTCAATGGTCTCAACTCAAGAACACAAAAGAAATGAGATGACGGAGATAAAAGATTGGGTGAAGAAGAAGGCAAAATGGCTAGAGAATAGAATAATGGCAAGGCTCTCCCATTGATCTCCCACTTTCACTCTCAAGGTCGATAATGGAGAAGGGAAATTAGTTCTTTCCCAAGAGTTAAAAAAAATCTCCAAAATCCATCCCTTGTAAAGCTATGGGTGGGTGCTATTTATAGGCACCTCATGATGTAGGATGGAGCCCATGTGCAAGGCACATGGGGGATATTCTCTCTAATCACCTTGTCCGAGGGGGTGACTTCTCCGAGGAGGTGACTTCTCCGAGGATGAGAAAACCCCGAAGAGGAGATCACTCCCTCGGTGAACCCTTCTTCTTAGCCACACCTAACCAATGATCCCCAATCATCCCAAAGGGTCAGGGGTAGTCCCAGAGGACGTCCTACCGCAAAATATTGCCGAGTCTCATGGACCCCCCGGGGTCGTGCCACCTCGACCCGGGTATAGGCTAGTTTAACCGAAGAGTGAATTTATCTCCACTCACCGTCTTCGGGATCGGGTCCTTTGTTCGAACTCCATTACGCCCATGGTTCTGGTGCGTAGATCCCGGAAAGCTCCGAGCCCGCAAGTATTCTGGGACTCATTAACGGAGCGACTTCTAGATTGCGTCTGAATCCGTTCGAAGCCAAGTGTTTAGGACCTCTAGGTTCGTGGATCCGAACCCTTTCGAGTCCGAGTGCCTCGGATCTCTAGGCTTGCTTAATACCCTTTCGAGCCCGGGCCCGAGTAAGTCTCTAGGTCCGTGGATCCGAACCCTTTCGAGGCTTAGAGCGATTCAATCCGTTTGATGGCGATAAATCTGGGTCCACCGATTTTTGGACTTGTGATAAATTCGGGCCCACTAATCTTGGGCTATTGGGCCTAAATAATTTAGTGGGCTCAAATTAGCCCCTCTTACAAGGACTAAGAACCATAATTAAAATGCTTGTGTGCTAAATCCTTTTGAGCCAGACTTTTGTATGTGAGATGGACTTCTCCATCCTCTTATGCATAAAACACAAGACAGAGACTCGTGGAAGGCCATAGGCTGCAGAGAATATAGAACTGGAAAGTGTTGGGTCTGGCCTGGGAATGCAGATTTTAAGACAGCTGGTACTCGAAATGGATTTCCAGCAGGTTGTTGATCTGATACAATAGAAAAGGAGCATCCATCTAGTTATAACTGTCTCCCTCTGGTGCTGGTGAAGCTTTTAACCATGAAATGGGGATGTGAAAAACTGCATACATGGAGAGAAGAAAACAATTGTGCCAATAAGCTATCCAATGGCGGCTTGCCATGCCCTCTTGACATCTGCTGTTGCAGATTTTGCCTTTTCCTTTGAGATTGCAGTAGTTATGTTTGGGCTTCAGATCTCCGAGGAGAATAGCTAATATGTTTGGCGTGAAGGTTTGGGTTTACTTGGTCTATTTTAGTCATAAAAAAACAAAAATAAAATATGTTTTTTAGTCAGTAAGATAAAATGTCACATCCAAACTATAATCATTTTTTTTTTCTTCATAAAAGTCAAAAAACTTACCATAAACAAGGCTTTTTAACTCCAGGCTAAAATAGTCAAAAAAATCAATCCACATTCCAAAGAAAGGCTAAGGCCCCGTTTGTTTGGAGTTATAGGGAGGGGATTGGGATTGATAGTGAGGTGAGACTATTATATGGGGTGTTTGTTTTGAGAGATGGGGAGGGGACTCTTAATCCTTTGGTATTAGTAAAGGCTTAGAATGGGGATTGGGATGGAGGAGGTAGAGATAGTATTAGAAAAATAGGTAGGGAATTAGAAATTTTTTTATTTTTTTATTTTTTATATATTGCGAATTTTTTTAAAATATTAATGTTTAAATTTTTATATTTTTTTATTTGTTTTATTATTTTATATAAAAATAATTTAACAATTTCTACACTAACAACTATCATCAAAACAAACATAATTTTACTTAATCTCTTCACTATTAATCTTCTCACTATGAATCTATTTTATTGTACCTCTGAAAACAAACGAGACCTCTGAAAACAAACGAGACCTAAGAGACATAATTGAACTCAACAGAACCTTCACTTGTTACCACTTGCAGTGGACTGGGTGAATCATTTTGGCCATTCAGCTCTATTAAGGAGACAGTTACGTAACTAAGTGCCATTGAGGGTTGCTGGTGATTATGATGTCATGAGTTTTGCCAATATAATTGAATTGTAACTAGTTATAATTTCAAGATTCCAAAAAAGAGTGGTTAGCAAGTGCAGTATCTCTTATTGAATGAGCAGCTTTTGCTGTTTCTTTTCTTGACTATCAACTTTCTTTGTATCCATAAAAATAAAAATAAAAATAAAAATAAAAATTAGAAAACTTTCATTGAAGTTGCTAGTAAACGTTCAATTAAATCTCTCCTCTCTTTCAGCAAAATGACTGGTTACCTCGGTAAGATTTACTGAGAATTTTTGTTAAAAGTGATAACAATGTGAACACCAAGTTATTTTATGAGTGGATAAATTATACTTAAACACTTGTTAATTGAAAATATTTGTAATCTCAAAATACTTTCTATACATTTTTCAACAGTAACATCTCTAAGAATTGTTTATAACATTTTTGTTATAAGATATTGTTCATTTTTTTTAGTGAACTAAATATGAAACTAAGGTCAAGTTTGGCATATCTAAAATAATTCATCTTTTTATTTTTTTTTCATCACATCACCTCTTTACTTTTCTGTACATCTTTTCGTAAAAAGACAAAAAATACACTTACTTAGGTCATCCCAAACAACTCCTAAATATTTTAATATAATGATCATTTATTTTATCTTTCTTCTAGTAAATCTTTTTTTTTTTTTTTTTCAGAGGGTGAATATATATATATATATATTATGTAATGAATATCATATGTTTTGACTCTTTTATTTTCACTCTTTTCAACATAGGTATTTATACAACTTCCATAATTAAAAAGATCAAAATTATTAGATGGGAATATTTAAAGGATATTGATGTAATTAACCTCTATAAATTATAATTTCAATTCCGGGTACACGTTTTGTCAAGTCTATTGTATTCCGGCTGGTTGCTCTCTCTCCTCTCTCTCTCTCTCTCTCTCTACACTGAAAGGTCAAAAAAATTTCCCAAATTTTCCCTCCTGCCTCTCTCCTCTCTGTCTATGCTTTGGTTTCTCAGTGGAGTCTGAAGAAGTGTTTCCGCTTTCAGTTTTTGGTTTCTCGCACTTTCTGTAGAGCTCAAATTTTGAAGAAAGCGTTGAAGTGATGGATGGAGGTCAACCGTACAATCCTCGGACCGTGGAAGAGGTTTTCAGGGATTTCAAAGGTCGTAGAGCTGGCATGATTAAAGCCCTAACCACCGGTAAAATTATCCCCCCTTTTTAATTTATTTAAATTTTAACTGTCTTTTCGTTCTTCGTTTGGTTTAGGTTTGAGTTTTTTAGTTTTAGCTATTAAATTTGTTTTATTTTTTGTATTAAATGTTTAATTTTTACTTTGGTTGGTTGGTTGGTTGGTTGGTTGTTTTCAGATGTTGCAGAATTTTATCAGCAGTGCGACCCTGGTTAGTTTCTTTTCCCTTTAATTTCCATTATTGTCACACACACAAAAAAAAAAAAACAGTTTAATTTAGCTGCTTATTATAGTTTTATGACTGAAGATTGGAAATATCTATGTTTGACACTTTTTGGTTGGTTCTAGTCAATTATTTCTTCGCATTCTATACAATTTTGCCTTTGTTGATGTACATATATATGCGTGTGTGTCTTTTTTTTCACAGTTATAGAAATTTTATTAACCTATTCAATTTGTAAAAGAGAACTTTGCAATCTACTGTAAAGTTGAATTTGTCGTGCGTGTCATGTACATCTGCTCTGGTTATGGCATGATTTGTTTCAAGTTGCGACCCAATTACATTGTGTCATAACATAACGAAGACCACTTCACGTTGTAACCAAAGAAGATGTGCATCATGCACACCTTTAGTTGGTGCGCACTACATACTGACTCCTATTGTAGTAGTATTGTTTATTATTATCCTTTCTTGGAAGTTGTGAATAAACGAGTGATGAAACATGAGCTTGTTATCAAATGAATTTCACTGATTTTTTTCACCTCTTATGTACATCTAGATAACAAACATTATGAGTATATAGAGGACTCACATATCCAGAAAATAATGGTGTCCTCTTATTTTGTGGATGTTCTCTGGATATGGTGCAAGTCCTACTAATTTTTGGATTTGGTGGGTGGACATTTGTTGTATGAATCCAGGTAGGAGGTGGAAAAAAAAATGATGAAATTCATTTGGTGACATTTTTTTTTTGTTTCTTCTTTACAATCTTAATTATGCCATATCTATCCATATCATTTCTCGTGTCTTCTTGCCTTGCAATTTTTTACAACCTCCATAGAAATAGGAGTAAAACATATTGCCAATTTCGTATTCTGTTTTAGCAGGAGTCTTGTGCGCTGGGTCACATTTTTTTCCTACTATTTGTGGTAAATGAACAAGTTAGTATTTTATTTTTCCTCTTAAATTATTGTAAATAAGCTAATATATATTCACATATAGATGTGTAATTTTTATAGTGACAGTCATGAATCTATATTATACTTTCAATGTAATAAGTTCTCAACCTCTTCTAAAATATTCACTTTGCAAATCAAATTCGATTCCAAAATTTCCCATGCTCAACTTTTGGTGAATCAGTAAGTTATTCAACTAAATGGTACTTGAATGCCTTTTTTTTGTTAAGTAAAATTTTATTAAATAGAGTGCACCACCCATGTGCAAACTGAGAAAACAAGAAACAAGAAAAACAACCCAAACTATCTGTCTCGTCTTCCTCCTACCAAACTCTACGTCTTCTTGCTGTATTTCACTACTTCGGCTTAGTACAGGCATGACCCAATTTCTGAAGAGTTCCCTTGTTGATCTGAGGGATTCAGATGAGTATGCATGACATACTTAGATTTTAATCCTCTTCTAAGGTTCTTAATGATTGTTCTTTCTAATTTACCTGTAAAATATGTTTCCTTGAGAATATATTTTTTTGGTACCAATTAAGCAATGGGAGATATGTTTGCACCAAGACTTGAGTGGAGACCAAGTCATTGTTTCGGTCTAATTCTTACCTAAATACACCTGTTTTATCACCATCATTGTCGCCATTATTAGTTGGTTGATTCTATTTCTTGGTGTATTCATTGATCTATGTGTTATAATCTATCCATGGTGTGTGTGTTTTGCCATGATAATGAATTCTGATGCGGATGAGTTGCGGAATAACGGAAGAATTTTAGACAAATTAGGAAATGCTTTGAATTTATATCTTATTAAAACTTGTAAATTGTAATGTGTTTCATATATTAGTATTACTTCATTTGAACTGGAGTGTTGTTTGACTGTGAAGAACATCTCTAATTTACTATTTGCATTGACCTCTTTTGTTGGTATCAAATTTTCAGCAGTCGTACCTGACAATTTTCTTCATGCCACAAAATTTGAAAGTAATGGTTACATATTTTCCATTATTGATTGTAATTTTATGCATCTTTATCTTTTTTCTGAAAAATTTAGTCTTCATTGGAGTCCCTTATTCTGATAGTCTGTTGGATCTGGGCTTCGGTTCCCTGGTTCAACTATTTATTAAGGACTCTTTCTTTGTGTTTACAATGTTAGGAGCATCATGAACTCAGTAACTGACAGCCTGTCAGGCTTGCTTGTGCATTTCTGTAACTGGGAACCTCATTTTGAAATGTGACAGTTTTTCTTCAGTGTTCTTTTTCTTTTCTCTTCGTTATTGGGGGAATGCCACAGCTGGTTAGTTTATATAAATTATCGTTTACAAATTCATTTCTCATGTTTTTTGTCTTTTTGTTTCTTCTTCCATTAGCTGTAGTTAGTTTTTTCTTCTATTTCATAGGTGCTATGTATTGTCATATCTGAGAACATAATACACAAGCAATTTAAATCCTTAATTTGTATTTGTGCCTTAAAGCCCTATTATAGCTTTAGTAACATATATAATAATACTTACCCAAAAAAAAACATATATAATAATACTATGCCTCTCAAATATCTGTAATATTTTCTTATGATCTCAGTAAATAAACAATTTATATTTGTTTTAAATGACAGAGAAGGAAAACCTTTGCCTTTATGGATTTCCCAGTGAACAGTGGAAAGTCAATTTACCTGCTGAAGAGGTGCCCCCAGAGCTTCCGGAGCCTGCACTGGGTATTAACTTTGCCAGAGATGGCATGCAAGAAAAGGACTGGCTATCTTTAGTTGCTGTCCATAGTGATGCATGGTTGCTTGCTGTCGCCTTCTATTTTGGTGCCAGATTTGGATTTGACAAAGCTGATAGGTACCTTTCTTCTGTTTACTCAATGTTGGATGATTTTTACTGTCAGACTCTAGTTTGATTCCATGACACAATTTCCTAAAATTGACTGGGCGGATATAGAAAGTAGCAATTGATTTCAGTATTCTAATAAAGCGTATTGCTTTTTTATTATATATGTTTTAGTTTTGTTACTTTTTTTAATTGTTTCTTTGTAATTTCTGCATTAGGATGCAGTACTGTTGTGCATCTTCCTAATTACATCTTGCTGGTATATTTTTATTGCAGGAAACGCCTTTTTAACATGATAAATGATCTTCCAACAATATTTGAAGTTGTGACAGGGACAGCCAAGAAACAAGTGAAGGAGAAGTCATCAGTCTCAAATCACAGCAATAGCAAATCTAAGTCAAACCCCAAGGTAGTAAAGGATTTCTACTTTCTAAATTTTCAATCCCAGTACATAAACTGAAGTTGTTGGTTAGATAATTTTGGTTTGTTGTGCATTACTTAAACAAAGGTGCTTGTATAATGCTGTGTAGTTAGTTATAAGGACACTGCATCATTGGGAAATTTAAACAGTAGTGTGAACTACACGACTAATGCCTATGTGCTTTCTTGGATGCTGGAATGTCAGACTCACATAACGTATTATTAATGATCATTGTTACAATCTTGACTTCATCTCATTTTTTTACTAAAAAATATTTTCACCCACCCATTTAACATGAAAACTAGTAGGGATGTATAGGCAATTGGAAATTGGGACAGTTGGATGGAAGATAGATACTTCTTGTTGTCACTGTTAGTTGTCCATGGCTCTGCTGTTTGGCGTATGATTGAGAACTTGTGGATGCATGTCTTATGGACGTGAGTGCTAATTTTAATAACTCATCTCCTCTCACTCAAAAACACCATCTTTCTTTCCCCTACTCCCTGCCATAAAATTGACTGATATTCAATGAAGCCGTTGCTAACACTTTTTGTGTAGTTCTGACTCATTCATTATTTATTTTTTCATTTTGGTGCATTTTATTGGATACCTTGTTTTTTTGTTTACTAATATAATATTTTGCTGCAAAAGCCACAAGACTCTGAATCTCAGGGCAAGTATTTGAAAGAGCCAGAACTAAAAGATGAGGATGAGGAGGGTTTGGAAGAGGAAGAGGAAGAGGAAGAGGAAGAGGAGCATGGGGACACACTGTGCGGAGCATGTGGAGAAAACTATGCATCAGATGAGTTCTGGATCTGCTGTGACATCTGTGAGAAGTGGTTCCATGGCAAGTGTGTTAAGATCACCCCAGCAAGGGCTGAGCATATCAAGCAGTACAAGTGCCCATCCTGCAGCAACAAGAGAGCTCGCCCTTGATAGTAGCTGGGTATGTGGACGTGGACTCACAATACTTGAAGCTCTCACAGGTTGGATTCTGCTATTTGTCTAGTTGGTCTGTCTGTTGTTCTAGTCTGGCCCTTTAGTTTTTAAGATCTGTTTAGATATCTTGCATAGGTTCGTTGCAGACATGCGGTCTAGTGTGTAGTCATGCAAATTCATGGAGTTAATTATGTAGGTTGCAAATGTGCTGTCTGTTTATGTTTAAATTAGAGTAGATATACTCGGGTGGGATATTGTTTTCCTGTTGTGGTGTAAGGACCATTTTATGTTTTTTTTTTTTGTTTTTGTAATTTTATTTACAGGCTTTCATTCCATCATCTCTGTTCCATGTTTTGGCAAGTGTATGATTTTTCTATATGAAGCTTTCAGTGGCTTTGACTAGAAGGGTCAACTAGGATTATGTTTCACTTAGTTAAAAAGTGGTCTATCTCGGTGTGCTCTCACTTGTGAGCGAGTCCTGTGGCAAATTTGCTTTGACTAGAAGGGTCAATTAAGATTATGTGGAACTGGTTAAAAGTGGTCTATCTCGGTGTGCTCACTTGTGAGCGAGTTCTGTGGCAAATTTAGGTAGGGTTGTATGTGTGCTGTTCTGGAAATTAGTTGAGGTGTTAATTTGGGATATAGTTTCTATTTGTTGTTGAATCATTGTTTTTAATCATTATCCCATGATATTTGGATACAATAATGATACATCCCTCTAATAGTAGAGTTCTAATTGAGCTCTAGTGAGGTGGAAAGTCAAAAAACAAAAAAGCCAAAACATCATATCAGATGGACTCCTCATATACATTAGAGCTATTAGAGCTCACAAACTAAAGCTCCAAAACATTTTTGATTTGGATAGTATTTTGTTTCCTCTGGATATATGCAACTGGGGAATTGGATGCAGCACTAATGTGCAAACCTGTTGCTCTTTTCCTATGGAGGAGAATTTATGCATTTATGTGTCGTTTGTGTTCTAAATTCTTCAATGCCAGGATGTAGGTGGTCTAGGTGAAATTACACAAATTTGTATATACACAAATCAAGGTGGAATTCGCTTTCAAAAAAAAAAAAAAATCAAGGTGGAACCGGGACCCCCCATCATTGGGGGTGGGGGGTGGTAGAAGGATGGCAGTAGGGTGGGTCCTACCGTGCATTGGGTCTAGCGTGAGATAGCATGTTTGTTTTACGGTGACTTCTGATGGGTTAGAAATCCATCAAAGGTTGGGCCAGGTTTTATATGAGCTTAAACCCTACTCGGCCAATGTGGATTAGGGTTGGGCTGACCCATTATTGAATTAGGATTGGGCATAGGCCTAACGGTGAAGGCAAAGTAAACAATGGGCAGTGGGCTTAATGTGTAGTGGCCTGACCTATTCAGGGACCACATATATGTCGAAGTTGATCTTCTGTGTCTTTTTCCTTTTATTGTAAGGTCCTTATTGAAGTGGACATTTTTGTTTCTTTTTTACCTTTTTCCTTGGCAGATATGAGACGTGGAATTGAGGATAAGAGGTCCTTATGAACTGTAATTGGATAAGAATATTGTGTTCATTCAAATGACTTATTATGACAATCCCACTTCAAATTGCTGGATTCAGATTTAATCCTTGTGAATAATAATAATAAGACTTCTAAATAGAAATTAAAGTTCCAGAATATTTTTTAGAAAATAGATTACAATTATTTAAGAGTACTGTTATATATTATCAGTTGAATTTTATCTTCTTTTTTTTGGGCTCCTGTGTGATTTTTTTTTCTTTTTTCTGAGTCTTTATTTCGATTCACACAGCAAAGTTACCCTCCATTATTTTTCAAATATAGTGAATTATACAAGTATCCATGCTGTGAATTTGTACAGAAGAATGTGAAAATGGCCAATAGAATATGTCCTATCATGTAAAGTTGTATCTTGCTTTATCCATGGGTAGCTAAAATTAGATTTACCTACATGACGTGAGAGAGACCCATTGTTTGTGTTTGGTTGAAGAAGGTCCACAGGAATGCAAAAAAGTGAATAGGGAGGGAGAACCATTGTAGTGGTTGCCTATATTGGACCAGTGGATGTTCATAATAGCTATACAAACTGACAAATTGCTTCTCTGTTGGAGCCCATTGTTTTATCCCCTTCGCACACAGATCAGCACCACCTTTCTGTTTCTATTCTGTTTTTGTTTCTGCTTCTATCATCAATCCTGCTTTCATGTTTGGTGGAGCAAAAACAGAAACAAAATACATATTTCTTCCATTTCTCTAGCCATACCACAGTTGAAGCACTGCCTTAGGGCATCCACAATGGGATAGCCAAAATTGTTTGTTAAAGTGTGTTATATACAAAAAGTGATAAAAATGAAGCCTAAAAGTGTTTGTTAAGATGTGTCAAGAGGTAATTAATTTTAAAAAGTGAGTAGTGGTGTAATGGATGTGTTAAGAGGTGTATTAAGGTATATGTTAAATATATATATATATATATATATGTATATAATAAATAAAATAAATAAATAATTTAATTTAATCAAAAAAGCCTAAAATTAAATTTCTAGTCCAAAAAAAAAAAAATCCTAAAAAATTTAAAATAAAAAAATAAAGAAATAAAAAAAAAAATTTGTCATTGACTGGTCAACCGGCCGGTCAACTTGAAAGACAAAAAAACTCATTTAGCAGCTTCATTACACGACCTAACAAAACCCCAAGGCAAGTGGCCGAATGGTAAAGTCTGGAGGATAAAATCCACAGGTCTCGAGTTCGAGTCACCCCTTGGGGCCACTGGAGGTCCTAAAAAATTTAAAATAAAAAAATAAAGAAATAAAAAAAAAATTTGTCATTGACTGGTCAACCGGCCGGTCAACTTGAAAGACAAAAAAACTCATTTAGCAGCTTCATTACACGACCTAACAACAAACATTGTTAGCTAAATCTTAACAACTGACACTAACACTAGCGTTAGCAGCTCTCCTGTGGATGCTCTTAGGCACCAAAATGACTACATTTTTTCGCATTATCAGGGAGATAACAAGAAGTAATTCATTACATTGCTACAGTATTACATGTTTACATTAGTTTGCCACAAGGCTTGGCTAAATTGAATATTAAAATATTAGTGAATTCTAGTGCTGGGACAGTCCTGAACTAAAGCTCTGTTGATTCTTAGTCGAAAGCCGCTTGAGAAACTCATAGGTAGTGATCATGGTTGTTGCAGACATAGACATTGAAGCCCACCTCGGTCCCAACCCTCTGTAACACGCACTCAAACCACCTTCCTTCACCAAATTCCTCACCGTCTGACCAATCGTGGGCGGCCTACCCCCATTTCCCTCTCCTTCCAAAACTTGCAATCTCGTCTTGATCGTGTCGAGTGGCATTGTCACTAACGCAGAAAACCCACTTGCCATGGCCGCACTCACCCCCTGCACTGCCACAACCGCCTTAGAATCCGGCCTAAAACGACGACCACCACCACCACATTCATCACCTTTCTTACAATAATAGCAACCAATCGCACTCCAAATGAGTCTATGAGCCACCGAGTAAGATCCCCACCAGACTGCATTCGAGGGCGCATATGTCAATGTCGATATCCCAAATCCCCTGTAAAGGCCTCGCATGCCGTCCGTGCGTACAATTTTTTGAAACGCATCAATTCCACCATTATATCGATAAGAACTAACATTGCTGGTGACTGGGTTGTTGTTGCTACCCTGAACCATGAGCCTCTGGCTCACCACGTCAATTGGAGTCCAAACCAACTGGGCGGCCATGGCAGCACTCAACCCCGCCGACGCATTGGCTATAGTGGACGCGGTGGCCTCCGAAAAGCCCAATTTCACGGTAGCAGTCCCCACATTGCTCTTGGTAACTTCAAGAGCCGCCATGTAAAGCGTTCGAGCTGGGATTGTACCCATCAACGAAGTCCCGAATCCTCTGTAGAACCCTCTGGGACCCTCGTGGCGTAGCATGGAAAAGGCCATCTTGAAGCATGGAATATCGGACATTGATACCTGTTGGCGGGTCTTCAACACCACCATTGGGTATAGAGTTGCTGAGACGCCCGAAAACAGGGCGGCGCCAAGGATAAAGAACTTGGATTTGTCGAGCATCTCCCAATCGATTTCGGCCGGAAGATGAATTCCGGACACCGAATCATCCTCGGCTGCACGCAAACTCATCTTTGCCACTATGTTTTACAAATCCAAATCCAAATCCAAATCGAAACCGATAAAAATTTAACTTTTTTGTGTTGGTTCCAAAAATATGAATATAGTATAGTATATTATGAGGGTTTGGATTGGTTTTGCTATTTTGTTGTTAGTGTGGAAACAGATTTGAGAGGGAAAGCGAGAGAGTCACGAAAAAGGGATGGAACATTTCTGGCGAAGAGAATTAGATTGAGCTGAGAAGCTTACCGATTTCATCAATTGTCTTCTTACAATCGTCGGAAATGGAAATGGAAATGGAAATGGAAATGGGTGAGATCTTGAGTCGGTGACAGTTTTGGAGAGAGAGAGAGAGAGAGAGAGAGATTATGCGATGAATTAGGTGGGTATGTTGTTCGATCGAAGTGTGAGAGAAAAGGGTTGGTTTTTTAATACAACAATTGATGGTGGAAACTGAAAAGGAGGCGGCTTTGGGAGGATGTAAGTGGCAAGGTTATGTAATGGATTTTAGTGAGGGTTTTGCGGATCGAGGGAAGGTGGACACGTGTCTCTAATCGCTTGGGAAAGCTCTATTTTTTTAAGGGTTTAGATCGGCCGGTTACAGGGTTGAGCTGCTGATTGCTGAGATGATGAGTTCTAGTCCACTGAATTGTTCATATTCTGTGGGTGCTCATTTGATTATATTGTTGTGAACATTTGTTTTAGATTATAACGTATTATGGGTGTTTGGAAAATTATTATTTTAATAGGTTAGAATTTTTGTATTTAGGAAAATAGTTGAATTTTTTTATATTTAGGCCTCGTTTGGGAATCCTCTTTTTTGGCTAAAAAGCCAAAAAGTTACTAAATTAGCCAAAAAGCCAACAACCCATACAAAAAAGTCAAATATTCTCTTTTCTCTCTACTTTTTGCACATCTTTTTGTAAAAAGCCAAAAAGTCATCCCAAACATACTAGTTTTTTTTAGCTCATATTTTAGCCAAATAACCAAAAAGTTACTAAATTAGTTTGTTCCCAAACGAGGCCTTAGATGTGATATTTGTAAAAGAAAAAGTGAAATGATTATGAATTTGATGTGATATTTTATTTTAGTGATTATTTTAATTTTTTTTTTTTTTTTGTAAATTTTATCCCAAAATGTCAAAAAATAACTTTTACCAAGAGTGTGTTTGGTAACGTTTACGTTTTCAGTTTATATTTACAAAAATTTTATAAATTGATTTTTGTTTATTTTTAAAAAAACATAAACTACAAACGTGTTTGGTAATTGACAAAATATTTAAAAAAATTTAAAAATATAAAAAAGAGTGAGAAATGGCAAGTGGTAGCAAGTGGCGGCAGAAGACGGTGGTGAAAAGTGGTGACGGTGGGTGGTGGGTAGCTGGTGGTGGCGGGTGGGTAGTGGTGGTGGGTGGGTGACGGTGGCGGGTGGTAGCGAGTAGGTGATGAAGACCTCAAACAATTTCTCTATACCCAGTACCCATGCCTCGGCTTTCATTGGGTCAATGCCCCCCTTGAACGATGATGGTTTCATCTTCTTAAACTTTTTTGTAATTGTTATGGTTCAGTCCTCAACTTGATGGTCTTGCACCACAGGTGGTGGTATGGGCGTTAGTGGCGGTGGTGGTTGCTGTTGTTGTTGTTAATGGCTCATACATTTTGCCGTGTCCGTAATCATCCTTTCCAACCTATCAAACTGTGCGGAGGTAGAGTCTTCCATATCATCCATCCTTGTCCTCACCATGATCTACATATCAACGGATTATAATACACACAAAAAGAGATACAAGTGCACATTGACAATGATCATTAATCAACTTTCATAAGAAATTCACAATGTAGAGAAACACATGCATGTAGCCTAAGTCTTTTCTAGACTCCTTATACCTCAATGGACACGTGTGTGAGATATTTACTCGTGCTTTGATACCAACTGTCACGACCCAAACCTGCTCCTAAAAGTTTAGGTCATGATCGGCCTGTACTTAGGCCTCATAAACAAAATTTCACAATATTAAAATCATATCGGGGCTTAAAGTGGAAGCAAAATAAAAATAAAAATATTCATTGAGCTTGTGCATACATGATGACTAAAATAATTAAAACATTTAACTACACTTTCCATATTTACATATACAATAACAAAGCTTATACAGATCTCACACACTATATGAGGTGGTGGCAGGTGGGTGGTGAGTGGTGGTGGCAGGTGGTGGTGGTTGGTTGGTGGTGGTGTCGGAAGACGGTGGTGGAAAATGGTGGTGGGTGGTAGCTAATGTTGGGTGATAAAAAAAAAAAAAAATCTGAAAACTCAAAATGGAAATACATTTTTTGTGTTTTCATTTTTTGGCCAAATTTATAAACTGAGACCACTGATTTATAAATTAAAAATTTTACCAAACAAGTTTTTATTTGAATTTTTAAAATTTTTGTAAATATAAACAGAAAACTAAAAACGTAAGTGTTACCAAACGACACTCAAACACCTGCCTTGTATATTTTAAGTTTTATTATTTTGCATCACATGAATATGAATGATTTGTTTAAACATTTTACATTCATAAAAATAACATATATTTCAATATTTATGAAATTAAAGCCGTGTTTGGCATAACCTATTTTAGTTTATCTTTTTATCTTTTTTGGGTCACATCAATCAACATCTATTTTTTACTTTTCTACATATCTTTTTTTTATAAAAAGTCAAAAAGTATACTTATTTATGACATCTCAAACCACCCCTAATTCAAAAGTTGTAAGATTAATTACATTTTTTTTTCTTTCAAAGTATGTAGTTTGTTATTTTAGTTTTTAATGTTTAAATTGTATTAATTTGGTTTTCAGTGTACAAAGCTATTTCAATTTGATCCATCAACCAAATTCAACCAAGAGATGCCGTTAAAATAAGAGATAAACACGTCATCTATTTTTTTATTTTTATTATTATTTTTTAAGATTGGTTTGTTTTGAGAAGTAAGTTTGAGAGGAGAGATTTGCAGCGGACAGTGCGGTCGAGCTACGGTAACGTGGGTGTGGCAAACCTCACGGTGCCGAGCTATCTTCTCAATTGGCGCGGCCCTCCGGCCCGTCGTATACGGCCGAGGTAGGTTGGCCGACCAGGCATGGTCTAAGGCTTGGCCGAGCTGTGACTGCTAGACATTCGGCGATAAGCGCCCGTTAGCACGGTACAACCAAGCAAATGATAGTCCGGAATGAGTCTAGGCCGAGAAGTGGACCAGCACGCTTCACCTTCAGTTAACCCGGAGGGAGTTTGGACCGGGATGGTGGTCGGCGTGCACCCGACCGGATAGCTCTGAAGCTCGGTCGTGTTATCTGTGGTTGTGATTTTCTCCAAGGAATACGCCGGTTGTGGTATGCCAGTCAGGTGTGCCACTTGGGCCAATGGCGTGGTGGAGAGGAAATCTGCTCCAGGCACGCGTCAATACCGTTTGGCAGTTTTACGCGTACTATTTAGGGTTTTTGGCCTTTACACGTGTAAGATGGTGGGAGACGAGCGCTGCCACCTGTCCAGGGAAGGACAACAGAGGTAGTGCGCGCACAATCCTGAGGCTGCAGGGCCAGCCTAGAAATAAGAATGGAAGATGAACGTAGATGTATGAAATCCGAACGGCTCTCTCTCTATAAAAATTATATTCTTCTTCCCCAAGTGATTTGACTTGATCGTCGGAGGGTCTATCTGGCAACCCACCGCCGGGCAGCTCACCGTTTCTTTGTTGCCAGGTTAGACGCTGTCACGTGAAGCTTGAGTCCAAGGAGTACAGAAAGCACTGAATATTTCGCCCCCGTACAATTGGCACTGTCTGTGAGAAGTCTTTGATACTCAAACCTTGCTCTTCAAGCTTCTTCGACCATTTCCATGGCCAACAACGACGAAACTCCATTGTCCGTCGTCAATGGTATCACACTAGATCTGTCCGACGCAGAGAAGGCCCCCCGAATGTTCCAGCCATGGCGGGTCTAGAAACTTCTTCGCGAGGTGCGCGAGACAAACGGAGGAGGAGCACTGATCGCTCGAAGAGTCCAGAGGGCTGTCGGCGGCGGGAGGAGTCCCGCGCGCAGTGCCTGGAGCACAAACTCAAAGACCAGGACGCCCTCATCCGCAAGATGGCGGCTGAGATAGAGATGTTGAAACGCCAGATTAAGGGGAAGGGTGTTGCTGGAGAGGGCAGCCTCAGTGAGCGCACCCCGTCTCCTCGTTTTAGCAGCCGCCACCAGGAAAGGACGCACTCTCTCTCTATCACCAAAAACTATGGGGTTGGGGATTCCGACCCAAGGAAGGGTAGGTCCCTCACACACGACAGCACCTACTACCCCTTGCGCCCGTCATCGACGTCGCGATACTCTTTCTCCATCCGTTCCAGAGACCTGAGGGATGTGTTGGAGGAGAGGGCGCGCCGTCGAGAGGCTCAGAGAGTGCTGGCATTGCAGAGGTTGAGCACCCAAGTTCGTTGTAGCGAAGAAGTGGCAATGCCAGCGCCTCGGATGATGGCCCTTGCACTAGTAGACAAAGAGCTGGTGAGACTTACGGCCACGCCGCTGTCTCTAGAAATCGAGAGTACATCGCTCCCTGCCGGATTCTACCAGCCTAAGTTCACCTTGTACGACGGCAAGACGGATCCGTACATGCACGTGAGTCATTACCGGCAAGTAATGGCTGGCCACCGGCGCAATGACGCCTTGATGTGCCTCATATTCCCAGCAAGCTTGGGAGAACTGGGCCTGAAATGGTTCGAAAGGCTTCCAGAGGGGAGTATCGAGGGGTGGCAGCAACTAGCGGAAGCATTCGTCACCAGATTCAAAACCAACACTCGGACACCGAAGGAGGTCGACCATCTCATGGGCATCAAGATGGAATCTGGAGGTTCCTTGAAGGCATACAATGCAAGGTACTAGGAAACTTACAACGAAATCCTCAACTGCCCTACCAATCTGGCGATCACTCAATACAAGCGGGGTCTCCCAGTCGGACATAGGTTGCGAGATTCGCTCATAATGCACCAGCCCGTAACCATGGAGTCCTTGATGCAGCGGATCAATGAGCACATTCGTGTGGAGGACGATGCCGCCTTCGCGACCGAGAAGGCTAATCCGGTCGCGGCAGACAGAAGGGTGGCGGGGAAGGTTCACTCGGTCGGCGCGGGAGGATAACCACCCAAATGACCGGTTAAAAGATCAACGGCGTGACCCAAACCGCGATGATAGAAACAAAGGTCGCAGAAACGACCGAGCTGACGCTCCGCGTGATGCAGAGGAGGATGCTACGAGAAAATTGAAGGCGCGGACTGGAATCACCACGGTCTTTAAAATCCCTATCTACCGCATGTTGAGTGAGATTCGAGGCGAGCCTTTTGTCCGCTGGCCGGCCAAGTTGGGGAATGCACATAGAGGCTTCAATTTGAGATATCGCTGCACCTTCCATAAGGAATGGGGACACCGAACGGAGGATTTCTTGCCACTTAAACAACATTTGTAGGAGCTAGTGGCCGCGGGGCATCTTGACCAATACATTGATGGGGATATGAAAGCCACCCTACCGGGACAAACCGAGCCAAACTGCCTAGCAGTCCTTGAGACAGCGCCCCAAGGCATAATCAATGTCATCCATGGCAT